TAATGGAGTTCATCACTTTCTAGTATTAATTGAGGATGCTAAACTATCCATGCACATAAACTAAAAAAAATATTGATATTGACCTTCTTAAACATTTTTGGATGGCCATAATTGAATGACAAATAATCTTTTTTTTGTATTGATTCAATATGTTTGACTAGCATGCATGTTAATTTTTACATTAAATTATTGTACTTTATAAGTATGAGCATGCACTAGATTTTTGATATGTCACAATAATTTTAAATGGACATATTTCATGTTTAAAATTTGGATTTTAAAATGACTGATAGAAGAGAAAATTTATATCAAATATTTGACCAACTAAATTAGAGAAAGGAAAATTTATTTTTAAATATTTTTATTTTTGAGTTAATATAAAATTATTAGTGGATTTTTCAATTTATTTTGATGATTATTTTTCAGTGGTAGAAATTGAAATTTATATTAATTTTACCATTCAATAATTTATTATTCTTTTAATAATTCCAAGCTCCCGGGTGTCGTGACATTCTATATTGTTTTTTATTGTTGAAATCAAAGCCTTTAAATAGATAATTCACAATAAAAACTAATTTGAATTTAATCTTATCTTCTATTAAAATAGCTCTATAAGTTATGAGAAATCATAAACTTCCTAAACTAATTCCATAACATAAGGAATAACTTTATTCTTCTTAAACTAACTCTAGTTAAATAGGAAAATCTTATATAGAATTTAAGTTTAAATAATATAAACTTATCTTAAACAAGTGTGAAATTTGAAACTCACTTTTATCACGTTATGATTTGGATTTCACTATAATAGTCTATAGCTTTGTGGAGCTTGATCTCCCTCTTTTGATGTCTCATTTGCGATCTATTTTTAACTATGGACTCTTGATGAATGCACAACAATAACAACCAACATTTATCCCACTAAGTGAGATTGACTACATGAATCCTTTTACTCCATTGTGTCTTATTCAGTGTCATATTTTCATTTAATTCTAATACATTAATATCATTTTCTATAAAACATGCCCAAGTTTCTTTAGGTTTAACTCTTCCTTTCTTAGCATAAGTTAAATCTAGAACATCTACTCGCCTGAGTCATCGGATGGTCGATGTTTAATGTGGCCAAACCATTTAAGACGATTCTCTTTAATATTGTTTACCGCTGGAGCTACTCCAACCCTTTCATGGATATATTCGTTTTGCATTTTGTCTCTAAGTGTAAAGCCACTCATCCACCTAAGCAATCTCATCTCAACAACACTTAACGTAATTGTATGCTTCTTTTTATATGTCAGCATTTTGTGCCATAAAGCATTGCAAGTTCACTACCATCTTATAAAATTTTCCTTTAAGTCTAAGTGGTACTTTTCTATCACACGATAGACCATATGCATTTTTTTACTTCAACCATCCAGCATGAATTCTACTAATAACATTCCCATTTATATCACCATCACTTTGAACGGTCCACCCAAGATATCTAAAATGTTCACTCCTTTTAAGGACTTGATCACCCATTATTATACCCCGCCACTAGATCTATTACTATTAAAATTATATTATCATATATTCAATTTTAGATCTGCTCAAAGAAGAGCTTTTAGACTCTAAAGTAGACCTCTCTAAAGTAGACCTCCATAATTCTAGACCTCCATAATTCTTTTTTTTTTTTGAACTCTCTCTAGCATTATACACAAGAAGGATATCATCAACAAAAAATATATACCAACGTACTTCCTCCTGTAACTAAAGCAAAATGATATGCGCTTGAAGTTGATCCTTGTAATCCAACTGAAATAGGAAAATACTTGGTCAATCATTTTTGTGTTCAAACACAAGTAACAACAGTAGCATACATATCTTTAATGACTTGAATATAAACAATATCAACACGTTTCTTGTATAGAACTCTAAAGTATTTCTTTTGAAATCTCATCTTAAGTTTTTTCTAAAAAAAAAAAAAAAAAAAATTTTTATTCTCCTTTTCTGTAGTTCTCCATCAAATCTTTCAATAAATGTATGGCTTTCATAGTAGGCTTGCCCGACATGAATCCAAACTAATTTTAAGGAATTTTTGTATCACGTTGTAATCCATGTTCAATTACTTTGTCATATTTTTAGTGTATGACAAATTAATTTAATTCATTTATCATTTATACACTCTTTTTCATCCCATTATTCTTAAAACAGAAACTAATGAACTATTTTTTCACTTTTTAGGTTTTCTTTTAGTTTTTAAAATAATATTAGAAATTTTAATTAGTAAAATATGCTCAGGTATCTTAAAAATTTTTACACTTCTATTGAAATACCATCATATTATATTGTTTTTTCACACTTCATTTTCTTTGTCTATTCAACTTTCGTATTATTAATGTGACAATAAAAATGAAAGGTCTTGTTATTATTTATAACATTAAAATCACTAAATCGATTATATTTTACAATCGTCATTGGAAAATTTATAAAAAATCTCACCTATCTATATTGAATATTCTCATTAAAAAATCACTTTTTGTTTTTTTATTCTTATTACACAAACTAATTTTTTTCTTTTTTTATCTTTTTGTTTAGTTAGTTTATACATATATGTTTCATGTTTTTTAGTATCTAATTTATTATATGGATAAATAAATGTAGAATTCTTAACATTATAAATTGTTCTCTTAGATTCTCTCCGGGCCACCTTATATTTTTTAAAATTTTCTAAGCTTTTACATCTAAATTAATTTTTATAATATTTTTTTTATTTTTTAATCTTTTTTGTACATTCTTATTTGATGAACTATTTCTATTAATATGTGCATTTTCTTTTGATTTTTCAATCACATCTTTTGCAACTTGCTTAATAGTTTTCGTTACTTTATCTCACATAGCGTCAATTTCCTCATAAATTTTCTAAATCTTAAGATATTAAAGTTTATTCGTAAAAATAATTTTATTTATGTTTTTTACATGTTTCTAACAAATTTTATGAAAATATTTTGTTGTATTTTTATTTTTTAACTCTTCACCCTAAAAATAAAAAATTAATAATCAATGTTTGGTTCTTAAATTTTCACTTGGAATGACTTTACAATCTTTGCAATCTTGGTAATTTATTTTCTCATAAAAATAATCAATTTGTATTTTGTTAGATTCATTTTTATAAGTATATACTCATTTTTTAAATAAAATGTTAGCAATAACAAAATTATATGATAAAATAAAATTTAATATTGTTCTTCCTTCATTATTCACTCTAAAATTTTAGCCACCACGACTCGTTCTAAAATCTTCTATTACTCTACAAAAAATTCTTTTTCAAGAGAGATGTTTTGTATTAATTCTCTTAGGTCATTCTAAATTTTTTTTTTGAATCATAGTATCAACAACAAGAATCTTAAAATAGTTCTATTTTCACTTCTATTAATTTTAAAGTTATAATTCTATCTCCAATTTTATTAATTTTTACAATATTATATTTCAAATTCTTATATATAATTATACTTGCATCATTTATGGTACGATTCTTACATGAATATTGAATTTTAAAATCTAAACTATCAATATTCTTAGCATTTTTTTCAACCCATTTTGATTCTTAAATGCATAAGTTATTTATTTTTCTATGAACCATAATGTCTACTAAGTTCATTAATTTACGTATGAGAGTATCTATATTGTAAATTTCTTTCATAATATTAATTTCATTAACTAACTTCTTTGCACTTATTCATTCATAATGTGTGCTTATTTAAGACTCCACCCGTGCAATGATGCACACCATTGCACACTTTTTACTTTACTCAGGTCATACAGCACGTCACTTCCAATGGACGCACAAGTATTGAAGCAGTAATTTAAAAGATTCATGTGGTAATTTTTCAATAAAAATTTTTGCGCTAGCTGCCAACTACATAACACAACTCTCCTCCTTTTCGAGACCTGAGACCCAACAATGACAGTGTTGTACTCTTGATGAATAGTATAACATAAAAATCTTTTCAAAAAAAATTCCCCTATCATCTTTTCAAATGGATTTCAAACTTTGGATTAATTTTACCATCATTTATTCAATTTTTGTTCCTTTTGTTTGCATATATAACCTAAAGGAAAAAAAAAAGAATATTAGATTAGAATCTCTTTGGTCAATTTATAATTGATGTGTTCCTACTATAGGCTCTATGAAACTGTTTTGTAATTATTAAAAGTATGGAAATGTTCATGTTGCCATTAGATTTGTTACTATCAATGGAGCTACTGTTTGAGTTTGCCCACAAATAGTTTAGATCATTGTGCATTGTTTTAAGAAAATATTCTAGCGTTAGCAAATATGGAATTAGGAGTTAAGCGACGGATTTTTAATTTAGTTTTTATTCTTTGTGAGCTTAACTTCAATCTTCAATTTTTTTATGCCTAACTGGAGCTTGCAATGTTTCCTTTTTGAAAATTATTTGACCACCTATAATTAAATGTAAGTTAAATCTTAAAATAGTCCCTCAACTATTTGTGTGTGACCAATTTAATTCTAGAGCATCCTGTTTCTTCAATTTAATATCTTTTTATTATACAAATTGATCTAAAATGATCCCTCACATAGAAATTGTGGCACAAAATTGAACTCAATTAAAATTAATTTCAATTTTGTCTCTAGACTATTTAAAATTATCTCAATTTAATCAAATAGGGACCATTTTGAATCAATTTTGTATAGTTAAAGGAGTACATTGAAAATGTGACACTCTTATTAAGATTTCAATGGCCACATACAAATAATTGAGGGATTATTTTAAAGTTTAGCCAATTAAATGTTGAAACTTTGAAGTTTCTGGTTTTTGTCAATCTTTTGTCAGATTTTATGGATGATTAGCTGATTTGTATCATATGTGGTAATCTGTTTGTGTCTCTTCCTTTTATTGTTCTTTGTATTCTCTCCGCTTGCTCTATGCTTATGATTTTATGATGTGTTCCTACTGTTAGAAATGTACGCTACTGAAAGTTTCTGTTTCGCAATTGTACAGATTCGAAATGAAAAAGCTAGAAGGTACCTTAACAACATGCGGAAAAAAATGGCAGTTCCTTTTTCACGCAAATTCCCAAAAGCAGAACCTTCTGCTGTCCGATTGCTTGAGCGTTTACTTTCATTTGATCCAAAAGATAGGCCGTCTGCTGAGGAGGTGTGATTTTGCGTGTTAATGGCCCATGGAATTTATAGAAATAGTATATCACTAAACATAGGCCGTCCACTGGTTCTAAGCTTTCATTGTTGTACCAGGCACTTGCTGATCCATATTTTCAAGGTCTTGCCAATGTAGATCAGGAACCTTCAACCCAAGCCATATCTAAACTTGAGTTTGATTTTGAAAGGAGGAAGTTGAATAAAGATGATGTAAGAGAATTGATTTACCGGGAGGTACAATAGATCCTATTTATTTTCTTTGATTGAAATGCATCTTACGGTTGTTAAGTTTGTACTTATAATGATAATATTTTAAAAGCAAACAGATTTTAGAGTATCATCCGAAGATGTTAGAGGAATATTTTCATGGTAGCGAGCAGATTAGCTTTATGTATCCCAGGTATGCTTATTGCCAGTTGCTTGTTATTTGCTAGTTGCTTGTTATTCACTATGCCTTGATAAATCATATCTTCTTAATTACAAGCAAAATTGTTCTTTTTTGTATGGTAGCTTTCATGTGATGGTGGATTAAGGCTCACTTTCCAGCTCATTAGACTTTTCCAAAGAAGCCTAGCCAGGTTTGTTAATAGTCGGGGGACTATTCGGGGTTAAAACGGTGGAGAAACGGGATTGGAGAAACAGGATTCCTGATTTTACGATATTTAGGGTTGTTTACTTTTAATAGGAATTAAACAGTATTTAGGGCTTATTGGTTTTTTTGGAGTTAAAAAAACAAAGTTTAGGTGCTAGATATGTAAATACATAGGAATTGGTGGTATGTATGTAAATTACCCCTTTTTTTGGTGGTATAAATGTTAAAAAACAAAGTTTAGATGTTAGATATGTAAATACATAAGAATCGGGTGTTATTTATGGTGGTATTTACATGAAGGCACTTTATTTGCATGTTCTTCAATTATGTTGTTTATATATAGCCTTTCAAGCTTAAAGATTGCATTTGTGTTCATTTGTTTTTTATGAATTATATAAGGAACAAATCTATAATTAAATATTTGGGATTTTTTTTTTAAAATTTTTGTGTTGTATATAATTATATCCGTGATAGGGTTGGTGTAGCTCCTGTGACGGATAAAATTAGAGAAAGTAAACTTAGATGGTTTGGTCACATTAAGCGTCGACCATCTGATGATCTGATTAGGAGAGTGGATGTTTTAGATTCGACTTATGTTATGTTAAGAAAGAGTGTTAAGAAAGACAGAGGTAGACCTTGAAAGACTTGGGCTTATTGTATAAATCTTAATTTATTAGAACTAAAACTAAAAGAAAATATGACATTAAATAGGACACAATGGAGAAAAAGGATTCATGTAGCCGACCCAATGTAGTGGGATTAAGGCTTTATTGTTGTTTTTGTGTTGTATATAATTATGTACAATCCTTTCAACGCAAATTAAAATTTGTGCATTATTATGTTTAGATTTTTTGGTTTATACTTTCAATTTTGAGTTTATATATTGATTTGTGTAGTCATTTAAACTCAATTTATGGATTGTATTTTGTATTTGTATTTTGGCATCTATTTTTGTTGTGTTTTAGATTTTGTAAATTAAATTAATGTAATATAAGTGCTTCCTTCTTTCGTTTAAAGCATTTGTGATGCGGGGCTTAGGCTGAACCGACCTGTTTAGGGTTAGTTTTTGTTGAGATTCATGTTTGGATAGTCGCCGAGATCCCACTTCTTTCTTCTAGGGCTGTATCTGAGGATAGGTGATGCTTCGTCTGTATGTATCCTGCTCCAATGTGATGATTATCCTCACACATCTCTTCCATCCTTACCCTTTCGCTGTTGTCGCCTACCCTCCCTTTCTCCATTATTATTGTGCCATACCTCCCCCTCTCTCACAGCTGCTACCTAATCTCCATCCAACCTTCTTGGTTTTCCCCACCCTCATACCGCTCAAACCTGCTGTCATTCCCACCTCTACCTCCCAAATTTGTCGCCACCAACCTCATCCCCTCAATTTCTACTGGCTGCAACCTCTACAACCTCCCCACCTACTGCCATAACTTCTCCCCCAAAACCCAATCCAACAATCCTATTTCCGTTGCCACCCTTTATCTCCTTTTTAATTACTATCCCAACTCCAACCTGCACCCTCATACTATCCCGCTGCCACCCACCACATTTGTCCTCACCCTAGGGTGTTATGTCTTTATATTTTTGTTGTTATTTCTCTATTGTTAGGAACTTGTTTGTAACTCATTTATGAACTTCAGCAATAATATTTGCATTTCTATTCTTACTTGTGTTAACTCCGGTAGTTAACTCAAGTATCATTTGGTATCAGAGCTAGCCTCACCCTAGTCTTATCCTAGGGTTTCCTAGCATCCGCCTCACCCTAGTCCTACCCCAGGGTTTCTTAGCATCCGCCTCACCCCCTCCACCAAAATTTTCTTATTCCCAAACTATAGCCAAACTTTAACCTAACTCTAATTTCCCCTTGTTGATTTTTAAAATCAACAACCCTAAATCAATTTTTTTTATACCATCTTGTACCTCCCAACTCTAAAACATGGTCATGCTACCAATGAGATGCATGCCTGAGCCTACTGGGAAGAGATACAACGATAGATCTGTTAATTACAGCGTAGGCTTGTAGACATTGAGAATGAAACTTAGGGGGATTTACCCTCGATGGTGACATGGAAAGTCGAAGAGGCGAAAGAGACGAGAATTTCAACTCCTTCCATAGGGAGGATTTCAGTGATGACGAAAGGTCAAGATGCTTTAGAATCCAGTATCAGAGGAGGCCAAGAGAAGATGCCACCTTTGGAGGACACAGGGACTTTGGAATAAAAGTGGAAATATCAGAGTTCAATGGAGGTATGGATCAAGATGGCCTTATCGAATGGCCACAATCAGTTGAGTGGATCTTCAAGTATTGCCAGAAGACTATCAAATTGAGAAAGAACGCCTCCTTGTGGTGTGAAAACTTGCAGAGGCAAAGGAAGTGATAAGACAATGACTAGATTATTAAGTAGAAGATGCGAAAGTCGTTGTAGAGAAAATATCTACCTCGTCACTACCATCAGGATATGTTTCTTAGACTTCACCACCTGCAACAGAGAGACCTATCAGTGTAGTTCACAACGCAATTTGATTAGTTGCAGATTAAAAATGATTTGGTCTATCCAGAGGAACACACTATAACACATTATTTGGGGGGGGTCTTTAGATGCCATGGATTTCGGCCTCCAATTGCTTGACAATCCGAGTCTTGTCTTTTACGAAGCAGGGCTCTTTGGAGGAGGTTAACGACAAAGAGACAACTGAGGAATAGGGTGAGGTGTATCATCTTCCACCAGAGGAAGGAGATAAGCTCATGGTTTGACGGGTCCTACAGATATAGGATACGAGAGATCCGCAATGGCTTTTCCACAATATATTCTGCACCCGCTACATTGTGTACGAAAAGGTATGGAGTTTCATCATCAATGAAACAGTAAGAACGTTGTATCTACAAAGATGGTGGAGAAATTTGGCCTCATGACTCAGAGATACTCTCAGCCATATTCTCTGACGTGGCTGAAAAAGAATAGGGTCAACATTGACTGGACGTGCTTAGTGGAGTTTTCGATTGTCAGTCAGCTGGAGGATCAAATGTGGTGTGACGTGGTACCCATGAATGTCTATCACCTGTTGTTGGGGAGATTGTGACAATTTAATTGTAGAAATCATCACGAAGGATTCAAAAACACAAACTCCACCAAAGGTGGGAAGCACGTCGTCCTTCTCCCTTTGGCTGAGCCTGAGATCACAAGTGCCCTTGCCAATAGAGCAACATCGATGAGATTAATTTTGGTGATAACAGAGGATGATATGAACGAGACATCAACTCCAGACACGGGACAATTATGATAGAGTATTTCAGGATATCACTATCCATACTTTACCACCATAGCCATCACTGTTCAGGAAGGTTCAGGTCACCCTCACTTCAGATTAAGTTGAGCCGACCTTGAATACGTATGGAGGATTCAATATATGCATGTGACATGTAGAACCAATTCAGCTCAGTAAGGGACTCCTAGAAGATTAGACCGATGTGAGCGTATGCGTGTAAGTTTGGAAGGCAGCACAACCGACATTGGGATCCTGGTATCGTTGAGACCACTGATGAAGAACTAGAAGCTTCAATGAATGAAGTCCAAGCTCCCCAACCTTGGGAGACTAGCGTGGGGCTTATGCTAAATTGAACTGTTCAACATAAGGATTTTCAATCCAGCGGGGAGGCTAGACTTATCGGCTATACTTAGGGCAAGATTGCCAGCCCCTTCCCCGACTGAGTCCCCTTCCTCCTTGATTATCTTCTATCGTATATAGATGTTATTTTCTGTTTAAGGTTATTTTTTGCTGAAATTTCTGTTTGTACGGCCGTCGGCGTCCCTCTTTTCCTGTCTAGGGTTGTGTTCGAGAACAGGAGGTGCTCCGATTTTATCATACTCCAAGGTGGCAATTATCCTCACACATCTCCTCCACCTTTACCTTCCCGTTGTTGCCACATACACTCTTTTCCTCTGCTCCTATTGTGTCATTCCTCCCCCTTTATTATCGTTGCTACTCAATTTCTACCCATCTTTCTCGATTTTCCCTCTAGTCACCCCACTAACGCTTAAACCCGCAGTCATCCCCCGCCTCTGCCTTCCAAATCTATCGTCGCGAACCTTATCCCCTCAATCCCTGTTGGCCACAACCCCTACGACCTCCCCACCCACTGCTGTAGCTCCTCCCCCAATACTCAACATGTTGTCGTAGATCCTTCTCCAGCCCTTTATCTCCCTTTCCACTATTGTCCCAACTCCAACCTGCACCCTCCTATCTAGCTGGCGCCCACCACATTCGTCAGTGTTGTGTCTTTATGTTTGTGTTGTTATTTCTCTATTGTCATGGTTCTTGTTTGTAACTCATTTCTAAACTTCAGCAATCATATTTGCATTTTTATTATGTTTGGGTTAACTTTGATATCATTTAGTGTTAGAGCTAGCCTAACCCTAGTCATATCCTAGAGTTTCCTATCATTCGCCTCATCCCTCCAATTTTTTTTCTTTTTATTCCCATACCATAGCCAAATATTGACCTAACCCTAATTTTCCCTTCTGAAAATTGGTTGATGTGAATTGAGAAGATATTAGATTAGTATGGTTTGCCTGAATGAAAAAAGATTGTCATTAGCTACATTTGTGTAGGATGGAGAAGTTGAGAGGTGGTGTTGCGGGTAGCATCAGGAAATACTAGGGGACATAGTCAATATGATGATAAGTTGGGAGGAATTTGTGGAGCTATTCAGAGAGTAGTTTGTATCCAAATTTGTTGAAGACAAATGCAGGACAAATTTATTAGATTGGTTTAGGGAGAGAAAACAGTCATGCAATACGAAGCACAATTCATTGCATTATCAAGGTATGTGCCACAATTGATTGCTACTACAAAAAAAAGGTGTTACAGATTCTTTTTGGGATTAAAGAATTCAATCAGACAGCCCTTGGTTCCTTTGGGGATCGATGAATACTAGTATAAATGGAACGAGCTAGAAGAGTGGAGATCAATTATCAGCTTACTCAGAAGCGTAAGGAGACACTAGAGGAATAATATTGATATAGAATAACATGTAGATGACTAAGAGGGATCCAATTGAAAGATGTCTAAGATTAACTCGAGTTGATTTAGCAGGGGTACGACTCAGAGTACCATAGTCATTTGTGCCAATTACGAAAGACAACATAAGGTGAATGTTTGTGGGTTCTAACACATGCTACTGGTGTTGTCAGTCTGGTCATGTAGCAAGATATTATCCGCCACTTGGCCAGAAGAGCACTGCAGATTAGAAATCAGGTGGAGAGCCCCTCCACGCGAGATTACGGCTAGGCGGAGAAGGATAGAGTCGATGGTTTCAGCTTCTACCCAAGTTCAACCAAGAAAATATGTTCGACCTCAAGTTTATTCCCTTACTTATAGTGAGTCTGAAGAAACTACTGTTCATGGTTATCAGGTTTGATGAGTTTGGCGTTTTCTTACATATAAGTGTGTTCCTAGCATATTACTTTATATATGTTATTCTGATTTTTGTTGATGAGGGGAGTATAGTTGAGCCTCTTTGCATCAGGTTTTTACTTTATAGTGATCACTTTTTATTTTAATGAATGATCCCTAGTTTTCATCATGAAATTTAGGGATAGTTTATGTCAATCTACTTAATGAGATGACTTGTGGTTTATTTATAAATTTTGAGTACAAAATTCTTTTAAAAGGGGAAGATTGTGACGCATTGTTTCATCTTCTTAAGGGACTCAAAGAGAGGAAGAGGAAGCGAGTAGTCGGTAACATGAAAGGGTACTTAGGTTCTATAAAACAACGCAAATGAGGGAGGCAGAGGCGAGATCGACTTATCTGGGAAGTTGAACCGCGTAAACGAAGGTATGAGATAGACGAGTGCAAGTTAGGGTTTCCCATTAGTCGAAGGCGGCAACGTCGATGGAGGACGTCTTCGATCATCAAATAGAGGAGGATTGGTGTCGATAGCAACAAGGGTGACAACATAGCAACCTGGGAGGCTTGTGCGTAACAGAGAACAGGTCTGATCACAAGTATAGAGGAAGAAAAAAGAGGAGCTTTGTGCGCGCATACAATGCTCAACCAAGGCCTAATCGAGCCAGAAGAGCCTTACGCGCATTAGGGCTTTCAAGCTAATATATTAAAGGGGTAAATGTAAATCTTTTAATTAAATTTGATACTAATAAATTAAATGGTGGATTTAAATAGATTCATATTAGTATCAAATTTCATAAAAAAATTCAATTATAAGTATTGATAAATCATTTAATTAATTTACCAATAAAAATACTTTATATTTGATGTATTCTATTGTAAAAGAGATTTCAGAACTTTAAAGCAAATGAAATTTATCTGAAAGCAATGTAAGTAATCATGTTCTTATGCTATAGTAACATTTTTGCTTCTTCTAGATCAAATGCATTTATTGTTATTGTCACTGTTATATTAGAATCACTACAAACTCATGATTTATGATTCTATTGAATTTTTTTGTTCATATTGATGTGTACTCAGTATTTTTTTCATGAATATTGAATACAACTCTTATGCAAATGAAAATAAAATAGTCATTATTAGAAAATAATTTTTATAGTATGTTTGTATGTGCATGCTTGGTTATGATGTAGTCACTTCTTTATAGTACTAATGGGAGAACTTTAAATTACCCGTGCACGTAAATAAAAAAAATATTTATATTGAAGTACTTTGACTGGTACAATTTTTTAGACGGTGCTCATGTGACGGTTATACAGATGTTAAATAATATAGAAATGTTATTGATATAGTAAAACATATTAAATAACATAAATATCCTAAGTGATCATATTCATAGATTATCAAATATTTTATATTAATTTATTAAATGTTTAATTGACATGCATATTATTTTCTTTTTTCTTGTGTTACTGTAGTTTATAAGTATGAGTATTCACTAGTTTTGGTTAGTTCACTGTTGTTTTAAACTAACTTTTCAGGTGTAATTAATTGATTAAAAGATGAGCAATAGAAGAGAATATTTTTAAAGGACGCGCACAATCTGCAATGAGGTAAATTTAACTATATTTTTTTAATTTAGTGACTCTTTCATTTGTTAAATTATAATTATAAAAAATGAATATAAAAAACTTAATTCTCACCGTCTGACCGTTTGTACCTGCTATGGTTAATTGCAAGCTTCGGTTCGGGCAGTGACACTTTCAACGGCATTTTCTTGGACTTGTACAAGTGTCATGCCCTTATGTTTGCCTTTCAAGATTTGCTTGGATTCATCTTTCATGCTTTGTCTTTATCAGATCTTTCTCTTTCACTATTTTAAGTCAAGCTCTTTCTTTTGAGGAGCAAGGGCTTGGTGTGATTATTGGATAAAAAAAAAATGCTTTAAATCACTTGTTGAACTTTTCTTTTGTGCCCATTTGAAAATCTTAACTTATTTTTGGTAGGAATATCCACTAGTGGCTTTGGATTTGGTGATACAATGTGCTATTCAAGCTACAACTACTAGGCTCGTAGCTCGCTATTGCGCCTTCTTCCCTACCTCATAGATAGGCTTTTTACAATTGAAAAAAAACTCAACATCATGCCTCCCTTGTACAAATAGTTTAGCTGGCAGACTAGCAATAAAAATAGGCACTAGAGAAACTTGTTGCCCATCAAAATTTATTTTCATGGTTGGGACTTCTACATGTGTTAGCCTGTTAGATATTAAGGTTTTCTTTCAAGAGGCCTTTACAGCAGTATTTGTTTTAACCGGCCTTCATTGATATGCAAGTTAATATGAACGCGTGTAGGTAATTTTAGAGCTGCAAATGAATCAGCGTTCGATAAGTACTCATAACTTAGTTGACAAGTGTGAACAGCTTTTTGTTCAATTCGATTATGGTCATGAATAGTTAAAAAAGTTCAATGAAGCCTCGAAATAACACTAGATTAATACTTGGTGCTCAAAAAGACACTCATCAGGACTTAGTGTGTGGGCTAGCTCACCTCCATAAGACAAGGCTCGTTTGTTATGCTTATCTAATTAAAATCTTTAATTTTTGTAAGCTCAACTCAATAAGCCTGATTATGTTTTTCAACAGAGTTGCTTGTTTAATCATAATATGAACAAGCTCGGTCACAGCTCAAATCAAGCTTAAACAAGCCTTTGGTAAGTGAGCTTGAGTTTGAATTATAAAAGCTTGAATCGATCTCAAGTTGAGCTTAAACAAGTTTTTGGTAAATGAACTTGAGCTCGAACAACCTCATGTTTGATTTGGCCTGATGCATTTGCAGTCTTAGATGTTAACCTCAATACTTCATAATTAAGTGTAGTTAAATATGATGTTGAAGATGAATAATAGACACATTTCTCAAAATGAACTGAACATATTCTAGATGTTGTACCCTTATTAAGGGGTGTATATTTGGCACATTGAATGGCTGGTTTTGATTTTTTTTTTTTTTTTGTTTTAACTACATATCAAAACCATATAAATCATTACTAGTAGATATTTGTTGTGCGCTGTCTAATGTTTGTGATTCTAAACTTGATTTTTCATTCTTTTCTATTTTCCGCATGCATACGTTTGCTAGACTGGTTGTGTTTTCTAGCTTCGATATCCATTCATTTCTTTTATGCACGTGCTTTAATTTACATTTGTCTGGTTATTTATTTTATGGTGGTTCGAATGCATACATTTACATCTGTGCAGGTTTTTCTTGGTACTTAAAGAAACTATTTAATCATTTATTGTTTATTTTCGGGAATTTCATGGAGGCAATGTCATACATAACTTTTAATTTTTTGGCTAACTGGTTTATTTGTAAAATATTATTTACAGTGGTGTTGACCGTTTTAAGCGGCAATTTGCCCATCTTGAAGAGAACTATAGCAAGGGAGAAAGAAGCACACTACTACAGCGACAACATGCCTCTTTACCGAGGTAGTTTAAAACAAAAAGATAGCATGAATCCTAGACCTAGCCTCAATTTAGTTAGCACTTTGTTCTGTTTGGCTCTTGAACTCTCTGAAATTAGGAAGCTCCATGCATCTTTCCTTTGAATGTGTAGAATGAAACCTTTTTACATTTTGTGGATGTTTTGCTATATTTTTGCAGGGAAAGGATCTGTGCACAAAAAGATGAAATTCCTGACTATAATAAGGACATTGAGAAAAGTGTGGATTTTGTTGCTCGAACCACTCTTCAAATTCCCCCTAGGTCTAATCAAAATGATGGGCCAGATTGTGAATTAGATATCCCGGCTAACCTGAACAAGCCTAATTGTAGTTCCTACAGTATTCATAAAAGTTCTAGCATCAGTGCTTCCAAGTGTGTGGCTGCCAATGCGAGAACAGATGTAGAAGTAAGTTCACTAATATTTAAACATCATATTATTCCATTGTTGAGCAAACATTGCGGTTTTTCTGATGGCGAGATTTTTTCTTTTTTGTTCTCTGGTTGATGTCATCAGATGGGCTAATTATTTGGCCACTCGTAGGGCAGATATTGCTTATTTTGTTTGTTTCGTTGCCCCCATTTCTCATTGTTTGTTAGGTTCAAGTAAGGGAAACAGCCTCTCGACAGGTCTTTTTCTATTATTAACATCTAGAAGGATAAGACCATAACTGGCAAAGCGTCATGAACTTGGTATAACTTTTTTATTGGCTGGTCTAGTTTTCAAGTTTTATTATGCTATTTCATCGTGAATACTGTGTTTATGCCATGTTTTGACTCTAGCTCTGACATGGATCCCTGCACTTTAGTTTGATGCTGGAGAACCTCACAAATGTTAGCATATTTTTACCAACCACGCTTATACGAATAGGGATGAGAACTTAGTAGAACATTGGAGAGTGCTAAATAATAAAGCTATATTTTGTGTGGTGTTATGGCTAAATTTTTTCTGTCAACTAGACTTAGTTGGCCTAAATGACTTGACCTACATGGGATTGGTTTCAATCAAGCGGCTTTAGAGATTAATTACTTCACTAACCCATGACTAGCATAGCTTAATCTATTTTGGTCAACTAAGCCCAGGTCTAGTTAGATGGGCATTCATTTGAGCTGATTGGGTCAACCAAAACTGTATTAAATCATGTAAGACCACACGGTCAGTTAGCTCTTCCTAGCCGGTCAACTTGGACTGCTTTACTGGTTGCCCTTGGTCCAGTGGGTTAATTTGGCTTTTATGTTAAATGTAGCAAAGTTGGAGTGGGGCAGAGTGGTTTCAATGCACATGCCACTAGAGTCAGCAATCTCCAAAAAGTTTTCATAGATAAACACTCATGATCATCCATTCCAATAGTCTGATACTTATTTTCTCATTATTCATAAATGAATCATTAATTGCTTTCAAAAGAGGATCTATTATCTTGAAAAATGAATACTGCAGGCAATGAATCTATACGAACTTGCGGAGAGGTATGAAATGAGCGATTAGGCGCAGCTTTATCGATCAGGCTAGTTACTTTTACCAAGCCTCAAATTACCCGAATTATCCCTGTAATCCATGATCTGGGCCTTATTTGATCAATTGAATCACTTTTGTTGTTATAGAGATAGGGCGAAGAAATCCAATGGCAATTATTCCCCATTTTCATTAAATCAGTTGTAGGCAGTGCATTTAACTTTCTCTACGCATCATCACATACCACACAATTTTTATTTACTTATATATCTAGCATTTAGGTTCTGATATTTACTTAGATAGCACTTTAATGTCTCAAACACATCAAAATATATGACTAAAAACATGCATTTTTATGAGATTTAGAGATCGAATGTTATAGAAGCAAATATTAAAATTTAGATGCTAATATGTAAAGAGATAATAAATGTGCGGTTTGTATGTAATTCAACTCCTTTTTCCAATGATTTCTATAGCATGCAGATTTAGATTTTGTATGGTGTGCAATTTCAGGATGAAATAATTTCAGAAGTTGAGCAAGTTGATGAGTTGTCTCATAGAATTTCTCAGCTTTATGCCTAATTCATCATGGAAGCAATGTGGATTGGTTGCTGGCATAATTATTTTTCCATGCGATGAAGACCCTGTGCTCCCCTTTCAGTGAAGATTTGAGGTTTTAACAGATACGAGATGCAGATCTGACGGTAATGACCAAAACTTCCTAATTGAAGATTTGTTTATTTTGGGAGAACTGCTAATTATATTATTGTTTTGGGGAACTTTGATCAGGTCCTATGTATCGTCGCGCTCAATGCATTCAATTTGTTATTGTTGTGCTGATATTATAAAATTTTAGGGACCTGAACTGACACAACTGCTTTATCTATCAACTTCGTTGCATTCTGTAATATAACACAATTATTTAAATATCTGCCTTTCAATGCATTTTTTGTATTTTTCAACCCTCTGTTCTAAAGAATTCCTTCGTTCTATTAGAATTATTCTTGTATTAGCTTCCAAAAATAGTTGGGGCGTTTGCATACAAAACACCCAATTCCTATATGTATGAGGGGAAGGTGCTTGTATGAATCTCGAGGAGATCTGGCGGCGTAGTCGGGACAAGGCGTGTTAAAGGAGGGCCCACCAATAGGAGGCTCGGTGGCTTAATTGGACAATCGGAAGTACCAAGGCCAAGATTTATCAAGGCAATCGGGCGGCTCGATCTTGAGCGATTCGATTGGAAGTGAAGTACAGAGGAATCCAATTCATTCTCCACGATTGAACAAACCCAATGGGAAAGCTAACCTCTTGGGTTCTACAACTCCCTCGGAAGCATTCTAATAGCCTCCCTAAACATCATCAAGAACAATGAGATGAGTTTCGACAATCCCTCAAGACCACTATGTCTATGGGCAGCTATTTATCGAATTACGGTGATTTATCTTCTAGTCAATAACCTAGCTCTGCCACCTACCGACAGGAGCTCCTTATCAAATATCAATGGTTTGCGACCAGTGTTGACTAACTGATCGATGCAACTTAGTCGATTGAGCCATTCTTGTCAATCCTTTGTTAGTAAAAGCACAGCCAACAAACAACATCAAGACTAGCTGACTGACAATCTTACTGGATTAGACTGACTGATAGGCCTCTCTTGCTTAGCCGACTGACAGCGCCTAACTAAGGGCTCACCAGTTTAGCCAGCTGATTCTCAATGCAGCTAGGTTTTGGGCTCACATGTAAATTAATTGTACTATCCTGTACAGTTTCCACTAAAACAGGGCATTGTACCTTTTCTCTATAAATAGAGGATCACTCTATTAATAGAGTCACCCATCTCTTTCAAATTAATATTCATTAATGTGCCTCTCTCTCTCTCTCTCTCTCTCTCTCTCTCTCTCTCTCTCTCTCTATGTTCTTACACTATTCCTTAAATGTGATTCACTGACAAATCCTACACTACATATTTACATATCCAACTCCTAGACTTTAACTTTTACGTTTATACCAACCAAATTTTTCATATCATATAAAGATACCACTATTTTAATCTTAAAAAATATAATACCTCTTGTCATGCCTAAGTAAGATGGTATATATATATATATATATATATAATGAAATGGCATATGTAAATCTTCCTAAATAGCTTCATTGACTACATATAAGATAGAAAAGGTGGGGTTATCATTTTTTTCGCCAGAACTACTATGAGAGGAAGCCTTGTTGGTGTCGCTGCAAAGTTTAGCTGTATTTAATGCTGAACTGCGACTCGGTGAAGGCAATGGGAGAGGCAATACGCAAAGGAAAAAAAGAGCCATCATTGGAAGATTTACATACATACCACTCAATCCCTTTGCATTTACATATCTAACACCTAAATTTCAAGTTTTATATACATGTCATCTTGTATATGTATGAGGTGTATTTCACTTTTTAAAAGTGAAAAGCAAGAACGGAATCAACTTGTGTTCCATATGGGCAATTATGCACTCTAGAATTTATGATTTCTTTATATGAGTTATAAAATTTATTTATTTGTTCTTATTTAATTGAGACAATTATGTAATTTTGCTCTCCATTCTTTTTTTTTTCTTTGCCTGATATATAAAAAGTAAAATATTTAGTGATTTTCTCCGCCTTAAAAAAACAAAGCGGCGTCTCTCCCATGACTCGAGAGTGATATTTTTGATGTGATATAAAAGATTTTGGTGGAATATGTATAAAAAGTATAGTTTACATGTTAGATATGTAAATATATAGAAATTGGGTGGTATTATGTAAAGGCACTAAAAATATTTTACATCCATTTTGCCCTGCTTGGTACATGCAATGCACGGTAATTGATCCCCCGACTCCCACAAACATGTTAGAATTTTACCATCAATATCTTGAAAGATCTTATTAAATTATACTTCCTATTGTGAGCATTGTTTGTGTGAATAGATCTTTTATTACAATAATTTATTTTATGTTCAAGTAAACATTTTTATTGACCCATTTAATAGGAAATTATTGAAGATAACTAAGTGGGAGAAGATTAAGAAGGCAATGTTGAAGAAATAGCTCCCATCGCAGTATCGTCAAGACATGCTCCTAAAACTCCACAATTTGCAGCAATGGAATCTTTCAGTTGAGGAGTTTACGGCCTAGTTTGACCACTTGCAGTTGAAGTGCGAGCTGACAGAGCCAGAGGAGCACACGATAGCCAAATACCTCAGGGGTCTAAAGCACGTCATTATCAATGTGGTACAATTACAACCATATTGGACATTGAGGGATGTTCAGACACTAGTCTTGAAGGTGGAGAGGCAGCAAAAGTAAAGCAGGCAACAATCATCCTTCCGAACACCATCTTTAGCCAACTAGTCACCTGCAACTTCTACAGCCGAGAAGGACCTTAGGAGGATATAACATAATCATACAAGGAACTGATAAGGCAGATTAGAGTGGGAAGAAGCAAGAGAAAGATGATTCCTCCTATACAATCATGGCCAATAAGTGTTTCCATGGCTACGGACACATAGCATCCAGCTGCCCAAAAAGCTGAGTCGTCACACTTATAGATCAAGGAGCGTCAAAAAAGTCGATGAGGAGTTAGAGGAGAGTCCAAAAGAAAAGCTTCAGCTCCATGGAGACGAGAGAGAAGCGTTAGTATTTCGATGAGTAATGCAGTCCAAGCTAGAACTGGACCAATCCTGATTAAGGCATAGCATTTTTTTGCATCAAGTGCACCGTCAAGGAGAAAGTTTGTAGTCTGATCATCAACAGTGGAAGTTGTGAGACCGTAGTGTCCATGCTCATCGTAAAAAAAATTGGATTTGACCAATAGAAGCATCCCCAATCATATTCCCTTACCTAGTTAGAGAAGGGAAATGAGATACATGCGGAACGTTACGGCAAGCGACGAGTGGAAGATCAGCTTCAAGTACCGATTACCCATACCCTGCTTGGATGATCTTTTAGACCAGCTACACGGAGCCACTATCTTCTCCAAGATCGACTTGCGCAGCGGATTTCACCAGATATGGATGAGGTTAGGAGACGAGTGGAAGACCGCCTTCGAGACACGGGACATACTTTATGAGTGGATTGTTTTGCCTTTCTGTTTGTCAAACGCACCCAACACTTTCATGGAAATTAACAAACTGGTTATTTCGGCCTCACATTGGAAAGTTTGTCATTATCTATTTTGACGACATTCTAATATACAGACGATTAAACAAGGATCTCTCGCATCACCTGAAGGCAGTATTTGAGGTATTGCGAGCTGAGCAACTATAAGCCCATCCGAATAAATGTCACTTCATGAAAAGCAAGGTATGATTTTCTTGAAATATGACTTTTGTGATTACATCGTATCTAGTGCAGGTATTCAGATGGATCCTGCAAAGGTAGAAGCCATTATCAACTGGACCGCCCCGCAATTATTCACTAAGCTGAGGCAGTTTTTGAGGCTAGCATCCTTCTATCGATGATTAATTAGGAACTTTAGCACTATCATCTACCTTCCGACCTAACTTTTGAAGGAGTTTGCTTGGATAGCAGCAGCGTAGGATAGTTTTGACACACTAAAGGAAATGGTAACAGGCACTTGTGCTAGCACTACCAGATTCAACCAACTTTTTGAAGTAGTGTGTGATGTCTCCTGCATTGGGATCAGAGCAGTGTTGAGCCAGGGAGAACACCCTATCACCTTCATCATTGAGAAGCCAAATGAGTCCAGGAGGAAATACTTGACATACGACAAGGTATTCTATGGCATTGTCCGGGCCCTATAGTGTGGGAGTCATTAACTATTAAAGAACAAGTTCACACTATTTACAGATCTTAGGGCCTTACAATTTCTAAATAGCTAAAGCAAACTGAACGGCTGACAAGCCACTTGGGTGGAATTTCTAGCCTCATTTTAGTTTGTGCTAAAACACAAGACAGGAAGTCAGAACCGCATAGTCGATGCATCGTCAACTTCTATTAATCACATCTATGCATGCTCGAGTTGTGTGCTTCGAGGTTTTAAAGAATCTATATGAAACAGATAATGATTTCAAATACATATTGGAGTAATGTTAAAAGAAGACATCAGGGCTCTTTTACCGCACAGATGGATACTCAATCTAACAGTCAATTATGTATTCTCTTATGTTCACTAAGATAAGTCATTGCCCAAGAGAGAAATAATGGAGGATTAACAAGTCATTTAGGTTGGCAAAGACAAGGGCTCAGGTGCGGGATTGTACACGCTACTTTCAGTATCAGAGGCATAATGGTTGGACATCAACATGGATTTCGTGGTGGGACTTCTAAGGACCAAAAGGAACAAGGACTTCATCATGGTTGTGGTAGACAGATTCTCCAAGATGGCTCACTTTGTACCCTGTCACTGGACACTAGACACCTCTTACATCGACGATCTATACTTCATAAAAATTGTAAGTTTGCATGGAATTCCCAAGACCATCACCTTCAACAGAGATGTCAAATTTCTGAGCCACTTCTGAAGGGCACTATGGGGAATGCTTGACACCAAACTCCTATTCAACTCGACAGCTCATCCACAAACTGACGGAGAGGCAGAGGTACTATATCGAAGCCTCGGTAATCTCCTGTGGTGTTTCGTGGGAAAATAAAAAACAGTGAGATCTTATTATAGCCTAAGCTGAGTTCGTCTATAACCGATCCATCAGCCAAACTACTAGACGAACTCCCTTCGACAATGTGCTCACGCCTCTAGAATTTATGTCACTCCTACCAACATAAAAAACCAACAAGAATGTCATAGAACGAGTTCACAATAATCAAAAACTCCTTAAAGAAGTTGGCGAGGAGATTGCTAAGAAAAACTGCAAATCTCAAACACAAGCAAATAAATCCAGAAAGAAAGTAAAATTTTGAGGAAGGCAACCTCGTATAGATTCAGTTGAAAAAGGAAAGACTTTTCATCGGATCATTCGTGAAGCTTAAGTCAAGAGCAGATAGACCTTTCAGAGTACTTCAAAATTTGAACGATAATGCTAATAAGATCGACCTGCCAAAAGACTACAAGATTTCAGTCACGTTCACCATCGCTGACTTAACACCATACTTTGAAGATCCTAAGGCTTTGACAAACAAGTTTGAAGCTTCCCCAACCCTAGGAAACTGACGCGGGCGCTAAAAACAGCGCCCGAATGCAAGCACTGAATGCTCCCCGATGCAGGTCACTTTAATTCTGCGGGGACCATAAGCCTTGCGAACTGTCGTGAAACAAGAAAATGCAGGAGGTGGGATCGCGATGCGGTGGGGTCTCGCAGGCGAACTCTCCCGAAGGAGTAGGAGGCTTCGCGAGTTGCCGCACTTGTGTAGTGTCTTCTGGATACTTCTTGCCTCCTCTCACTTTCCTTTTGTGTAAAAGTTTTCTTTGTCCAGTGGGAGTCTATAAATTATTGTCCTTTGTGTGTTGGGAGTTAGTTCTGGTTGTGCAGTCTTTAGATCTCTTGTGCATTGTTCTTTTCCCACTTGCTAGGGCTGCAGCCGACAACAGGTGGTGCTCCGGCTGGATCATGCTCCGAGGTGGTGTTATATTCTCCCCATCTCCTTCTCTACTTCTCCCCTGACCCTTCTCTTGCCTCTCCCCTAGCAACTGAACGACCACCCCCATATCCCTCCACCACTCTGCCACAACATCTACTCTCTCCACAACCTTGTTATCCAGCTTACCTACAACCAACCAAACACCATTACGACTACCCCAAACAGACACCCGACCTTCCCCACCTTTTCCTATCACCCCAATGACGCCACCATCGCCTACAGAACTCTTCCTGCACTCCCTAACTATAGATTATGCTATTATTGTATTTGTTTTCCATTTGAGTCATATTGTAACCCCATTTCTCTATTAATAAGAGTTTGTTTTTGTGTTTTGCTACCTCCTCACTAGTTTCGCTATCATTAGGTGTTAGATATGTTAATATATAGAAATTGAGTCGTATGTATATAAATCTTCTAAAATAATTTCAATGACATCATATAGATGGAAAAGGTGGGTGTACATAGAGATGTGCCAACACAAACCTCAAGAAGAACCAACGATTCAAAAGGCCAAAAGTACAATTAAGAATGGTCCATCAACAGATGACCTGGAGGCGCATTTATCAACCAAATATAGCAATTTGAACCAGAGCTAAGACCAATGCCGACCAGATGCAACCATCCGAGCCAGAGCCAACAAGACTAAAAATGTGGAATGGTCCGAGTCCGAACCCATCAAACCAAGACATGGCAGATTGGTATGGAAGTCAACCATCATAAGAAGGCTTATCGAAATCGATAATCGACATTTTGGTAGATCATACCCAAGGAAGGACTACTCTCTTCATTATCATCGATCATCCCACGGACGACTCAAAGGCTCTTTATCAAGGATCAAAATTAACCATGTCAAGGTCTTTTGAGTAGGACCTTCATATGATCATTATGTCCATTCTATGTTGATGACTTTCGAATAAGCTCATATGTTTTAAAGGATAAACAAAAAATAGAGTGTATAAAACTTAAAAGGAGATGCCCCCTCTTTGTTTGGGGGTAAAATCCTTTTTTTGTTCACATTCCTATTCAAATTTTTTTATATAAAAAATACTAATAAAACATAATTTATTTGAATTCAAATGAAATATATCTATTTAAAATTTCAACATAGCTTTATTTTATAAGAGAATATAACAAATGTCACTTCAGATAAACATTTTAATTAAAAAAAAAAATTGCTAGAAACTCCTACCTAATCATTTATGCAAATTCTATTAGAAATTTCTATATATAGAAACATTAGCTTAGACTTTAAGAATTTGATATATATCGTTTTTAAAAATAATTTTTTCATCAAATTCTTAAATTCTAAGCCAATGTTTTTTTCTCACAGAAAAACAAATCTCACCAAAGAGATTTATTTTATTTATTTAATTCGTTATAACCTTAATTCACAAGTGAAGCTTTGTGGCCTGGAAATTGTTCGAAATTAAGACTCTTCAAAATAAATTCCACCATCTTGAGCCCTCAACTATCCTAACAAAAAATTAACCAAAAAAAAATAATAAAATAAAACAAAAATCATCTCTTCCATGGAATTCTTAAAAGCCATGGCCTACAAGCAGTTTCTAGGATGCAGGAGTAAGCCTTGACTCATGAAGTCAAGCCTCATGTGAACTGATGTTACAACAACAAAATGACTTTGAAAATTAAGACCAATTTTGCAGCATTTGTCTATATCCCTCCTTCAAAGCAATTTCATCCAGAGCGTAGATAATGATCTTCTTCCAGACAAAAAAGTACATGCGAATTAATAATATTATGGTGATATTTCATCACAATACCATCAAATTCATCTTCAACCGCAGCTTCCCAATACCCATATAAGCCACCTAACGCCAAACAGACCATACCCCGTAATTTACAACAGAAATCCCATTAATGGCCAAAATCAACACGATACTCTCCACCGCGGCCTCCCTCGCCGCCTCTGCCGTGCTCCTCCGCACCATACTCAATGAATTCCTCCCCTGCCAAATCAAAGACTTCATCTTGTCCTCCACCTTCACCTTCTTCACCAGATTCTCCTCTGACATCACCATCTTCGTCTACGAAATCCATGGCATGCTGCCAAACGAGATGTACAAGGCCGCCGAGACCTACCTCGGCACCAAGATCTCCCCCAACACACGCAGCCTTCAAGTCGCAATGCAGGAGGACTCCAGCAACCTGGCGGTCACCATGAACCCAGGAGAGATAATCGTGGACTTGTTTCATGGGATTGAATTCAGCTGGAAACTGATTTCTCAAGAGAAAGAGAAGTCTGTTTTCGACCTACACGAACTGCACCATTGAGACCAAATTCTTTGTTCTCAGTTTTCATAAGAAGAACAGGGAGAAGGCTCTCAATGTCTACCTGCCTCACATACTGCAGCAATTCAAAAGCATAAGGCAGGAAGAAAAGCCTATCAAAATCTATACTGGTAACTACGACTATTGGAATCATGGTTTTGGAAGTCCGGCGTGGAATGGAGTGAAACTCAGCCACCCTGCTACGTTTGAAACGCTTGCCATGGATGCTGAGCTGAAGAGGTTCATGAAGGAGGATCTGGAAAGGTTTGTGAGGAGGAAGGATTATTACAGAAGAGTGGGGAAGGCATGGAAGAGAGGATATCTGTTGTATGGACCTCCGGGAACGGGGAAGTCGAGTCTCATTGCTGCCATTGCTAATTTTCTCAGGTTCGATATCTATGACCTTGAGCTGACAGAGCTGCGGTCGAATTCTGCGCTGAAAAGTTTGCTTCTTGCAACATCGAATCGATCAATCATTGTGATCGAGGACATCGATTGCACGATAGATTTGTACAAGAGGAAGGAGAATGTTAATGCTGCAGAATCACTTGGTCGAAATGGATGCCATGATGACAAGGTTCGTATGCCTTTCTTAATTTGATGATCGGCTCTTTAAATGTAAAGCCTTTTTCAGAAAGATAGAGTTTTTTATTCAATTTTCAGTGATTTCCTACATATACAAAATCAATAGTAGCTTTTGTTATGACATATAACTTGTTGTGAAAAGAGACAGAGACGAAATAAAGCGAAAAATAGGAACGAGAAAATTCTAAAACCAGAAACACAGCGAAAACACACATATTTATATGGTTTGACAAATTGTCTACGTTCACGGAGCTTCAGAAGATTTTATTGTTTATAAATTAGGGTAAAGAAAAAATAGGAATAATCGGCATAAATCAGAAGAACACAGAGATTTAGGTTCGGCAATATGCCTACGTCCGCGGGAGCAAAGCGGCAAATTTCACTATTTTATATATAGATAAAACCCACGGATAAAATTACTTACACGCCCTCACTCCCCTCAACTCACTTATCTCCAAGAGACGCACCTCTTCACTCTAAGAGACACATCTCTTCATTCTACCTAACCAATCTCCACCTTGGCGAATATCCAGCCACTTAGGAGAAATACATATACCTAACAAATCTCCACCTTAGCGAATATTCAGCCCCTTATGAGAAATACATCATGGAGTTTCTTATACCGAAGTGGGTTGGGCAACCATGTCATCTAACAATTGCAAACATTCAACAAGTTCAAGCAATGCAAGAACTTGTTGATAGTACCTGGCTTGGTCAACAGATCTACTGCAATTTGATTATATGATTCAACAGAGTAAACCTCACATACAACTGTACTCCTCAACAGTTTATAGATATTACTTGCAGTGATCTTTTCTTTCATCACAGTCAATGCACAGTCAATGCACCTAGTCAATGCACCTTTAACAATTCTGATAGTTTCTCTATCTTCATCTGTCTTAGGAATAAAACTATTTTTGTGTAAAGTGCCCAAAGAAATTAATTTTTTCTTCAAATTTGGAATATGTATTACATTACATAATGTTCTGACAGTGTCATCATATATCTTAATTTTGACTTTGTCAATGTCAGCAATATTGTAAAATCTATCATCAACCAAATAGAATGAACCAGAATCAGATAACATGTATGAAGTAAATCATTATCCGTCAGGTGTTCTATCATCAACCAAATAGACTGAACTAAAATCAGATAACCTGTATGAAGTAAATCATTCTCTGTTAAGTGTTATGTGATAAGAACATTCTGAATCAAGAATCCATGTATCATTCAACTGACTTGTTGTAACTGAAAGTATATGACCATCATTGCAATTTGAATTGTCACTCTGTACCATATTCACAGACTTGGAAGATATATCATGTTTCTCATCAAACTGCTTTTTGAGCCTTGGACAATCTCTCTTCATATCCCGGCTCCTTGCACTTGTAGCAATGAATCGTCTTTCTGTCTTTAGGTTTTGACCTGAAATTTTGCATTCTAGAACTCTCCTTCCTTCCACTATTTTGATTGCCCTTAACATATAAACATTTACCATGAGGGTTTTCCCCTACATTCTGCTTCTGCTGGTTGTGAGTCAACAATGCTGCAGTAAACTCATCAATTTTGATTGTTTTTTTTCTCATATGTAAGAGTAGTCACCAGATGTAGGAGGAAGATAATGAACACAACAGAATCATTGTTCAGTCTTCATCCTCAATACTTACATCAAGCCGTGTCAGATTTGTGATTATTTAATTAAAAAAATTCAAATGCTACACAAGATCAGTGTCTCTCTGAGAATTGATCGCGCCTGTTTACGAAACTGCCTAAGAAATTTATGTTGTATTGCTTGCCTCTGCTCAGTGATCTTTCCTGGTTTGGATGAAACCACCTTGTCGCCAATCGTCCAAAGAATCCTTGGTCCGATCTGTTGCATCACTTAGTCGCGAACCTCCTGTAGCGGAAGAAGCTGCGCCCTCTCCGCGACCTTCCTGCGCCGAATTGTCGCAGAACTGCCGAAGCCCCTTCCCGAACTTTGTCTGGCCTCAACCTGTCGCAAAACCGCCCGAACTCCCAGAAGCCTTAGCCAAAATCCTTCCTGCACCGAAATTTTCTCTGCCCTAGAACCCCGTTTTGATACCAATTATTGAGAAATTAGAGCAAAGAAAAAACAGGAATAATCGACACAAATCAGAAGAACGCAGAGATTTAACGAGGTTCGACAATGTGTCTACGTCCTCGAAAGCAGAGCGGCGAATTTCGCTATTTCAGAGGAGTCCAGTACATACTCATAGGGTTACACATCATATATATAGATAAAAACCACATATAAAATTACTAGCACGCCCTCGCTCTCCCCAACTCACTTATCTCCAAGAGACACACATCTTCAATCCAAGAGACGCATCTTTTCATTCCAAGAGACTCTAAATTATGATATATGAGTCATATCTAACATTTATTGCTTGAGAAATTACGTCCGTCGATCACCTTGACGATTACAAGAAAGGCTCTCTCACTTTTTTTTTCTCTCTTCTCCTTTCTCTCTCTCTACCCGAGATCCACACCGAAGAAGAAGAAGAAGAAAAAAAAAACCATGAAATCTTTTTCCTGTAAAACCAACGCCCAAGAGAGACTACAAGGGGAATTGTAGCATGCATATTTATTAATTTTATCATGTTATTAGACCCATTAATGAATTAATCAAATAATTAATGAAGCCCATTAACTATTTCATTTTCTCTTCTGCAGTAAATTATAGATGTCGGGATTCATGCAATGAAAGCTTTAGAAAATCTAGGGAAGGAATTAACAGCAATTAATTTTGCAATTAATTCCGAATATCGAATCCAATTTGTTGCTAAACAAGAGAAACTATCAATTTGAATGGTAGACCAGTTTTCATATTCGCAATATACCTAGCCTGAATAATTGCTCTTATTTTATTTCTCAATCAAAACAAAAAGACTTCTCAGCTCTCTCAAGTAACAATCAATTACCAAAAAAACTGGACAAAAAAATCCAAACTTTTCAATGCCAAAAAGATCATACCAATCACTAACCGGCTCTTGTTCATAGGTTACACTATCAGGGCTGCTTAACTTCGTTGATGGTCTGTGGTCCACCTGCGGAGATGAGCGAATCATCATCTTCACAACCAACCATAAAGAAAGGCTGGATTCTGCGTTGCTGCGGCCAGGAAGGATGGATATGCACGTACATATGTCCTACTGCTGCCCTTCCGGGTTCAAGACCCTGCTCTTAAACTACCACAATGTGGGTAACCATCCTCTTAAACCAGAGGTTGAGAGGTTGCTTAGTGAGGTTGAAGCCACACCAGCTGAGGTTGCAGAGGAGCTGATGAAGAGTGATGACAGTGATGACGCAATGCGTTGCCTCGTTAAATTCTTAGAAGGGAAGAAGGTAGAAAGCTCAGACCAGTGAAGCAGTCATGGAGAAAAGGGGAGGGCTGGGAGATTGATGAATGGTCCAGCTCCCATTATGCATGCTGATGAAATTGATTATCTTTCTTTTCCCCTTTTTTTTTTTTTTTTTTTTTAATTTATAAAGTTTTGCATTTAATACTTCATTGTATGTGACTATGTGTTACTGTTGAAGTAAATCATGTTCAGATTTCATCACAGGTATTTAAACTCTACTTTTCTTATAATTAGAAATATATTTTACTTAAACTGGATGGCAAATTAGTAGGTAAAATTTGTAATAAAAGATGTTAATGATGTTATTCTAATTTGCTAACTATGGAGCCTTTGGCCCCTGGAGAGACATCTATCTTGACATGGGGTTGACTGAAGTGATTATCAGGCTGGATGTGAGCATGTGTATGTAGATTGGCCATTAGAGCGAGTAAATATTATGTTCATCGTCTGACGTGCTGGCAACAACGTGAATCAAATCATGTCATGCCACATATTCGATTTGCCGGGCATGATATTTTTTGGGGCATTAAGAAATACATGGTTATCTATTTTATACCTTTTTTTTTTGAATGAAACAGAAGTCAATTGAAACACGCTTCATGTGAGAATAGACAAATGGATATGCGCACAAGACGTTGGGCTTGGTAAAGGTGTAGGGATTTTTTTTTAATATGAATTAAATGAGAAAATATTACGAAAGGACTCAAAAGGTGATGAATGCTTATGTAAAATGAATGAAGGCTCTACATAGAAGTATTCGATTTTTTCATTAGTTACAAATTCATTGTTTATTTTTCTACATTTTTTGTTGATTTGTAAGACCTAGCTTTTTTAATTATTTGATTAATTCCATATTTGTTAAATTATATTTACATGCATTATTATTTATTGACGTGGGCTTTAATGAACTAAGTTGGCTAACTTCGAAGCGGCGAACATGAAGTCGAAGCGAGGAAGCCTTTGTTATCAAGAGTAGAAGACTGGCCTTAAAAAAAAACAGTAATATAGTATGAAGAAAATTTCACATACATACCACACAAGTCATAAGCATTTCAATATCCAACACCTAGAATTTGATATTTATATTTATATTCATACCACAATGATGTTACAAATCTATACATTAATGCTCTATTTCACTATTAAGAAATTAATAAGTGGTATTTTTTATGCTGTATTAAATATACAAGTGTTATGCTTGTAAAAATTAAAGTTTAGGGGTTAGTTATAGAAAAATATAAGAGTTGTGTGGCATGATGTAAATGCCCCTAAGAAAGTAGTGGTAAGATACTACTACATAAGAAGAGTTCATAAAATTTTACCTTGATTCTGCTTTCCCCGCAAAACCTTGTCTATTCATAACGAATCTTGTACACAAAATGCTTTAAAAATCCTGCAGTCAATAGTATTTACAGTAGGAGCCGTTGACAATAAAATGTAATTTATTTTATTTATTTTTAACAAAATGGTGCAAAACACGTGTTTTATCTGGCAACTCACATAAGTATGAATGTATAATTAATTCAAATTTTCAAATTCATAATCTACCCTCAAGATTTTGTCAAGATATACTACATTTTTGGGATCGGCAATCAGATTGAATTAAGTGAAAAAAAAAACAAATAAATAAACAAACGAAATTACTTTCTTAATAATTCCTTGTTGCTTATATGAGAATCAGATCTTCCTATGAACAAAAAGAAAAATACCATAAACTTGTAAAAGGATAATTGCAGATTTGTGATTAGGAAAACCTTATGGATTTCACAATTAGATCTTTATAACACAAGATCAAAAGTAGGAAAATCCTCCAGAGAGTTTGGGATCACATGATTCTTTGTGGCATCTGAAGTTGCATGCTCGGTTGATGCAACTACAGCGAGGGACACGGACTCATTTCTTTCACCTGTATGTGAGACTTCAGCATAAAGCTGCACCAAATACAAGTTATAATTGAGAAAACAGAGTTCTTAGAATGTGATGGCCATAATGGATATACAACTAAATGATTAATAGGTGATTTGTCTGCATGCATAACTACAATTGATTAAAATGTTTTATTAAAAAAAAAATTCGCAATTCAAACCTGGTCGGAAGCAGAATAGCTTGATATGCCTGATTTCATTCCTGTCATAAATTATTTCTCAGATGAATCGTGTAAATAAACAGCAAAGCAACATTTTAATAAAACGCAATAAGAAAATACAGCGAAGCAGCAAATTATACAACCTAAAGAAGATAATTCTACTCACCATGCAAACTACTACTTTCATTAGCATCCAATTTGTCCTTCAAAAGACTGCCAGTAGAAGAAGAAATGTGATGTTCTCCATTTAAAGCTCCCAGGGAATTTTGCGGAGGAACAATTTGTTTCACTTCTGGGGAGAATCCAAAATCAGAGGTGGGCTTATCTGGTTTATTAGTTCGACTGGATCCAGGTAGCTTAGGATCACCAGAAACCTCCAAAACCTCAGTTGTTGAGCTGGTGTGTCCTCCAATACTGTTTATGTTGAATTTTGTCGGTGAAATATCAAGTGCAGCTGCGCTGAAAGAAATTATGGATAAACATTTTGAACATATCTATACATAATTACAAATATGCCTCAGCATTTCAGAAACTTCACTAGGGAGTTTTTCTTTCCCAGAAAAAAAAAAATTTTTCTCAAAAGACCACTGTATTTCTCTGGAGACTAGAAAGAAATGCTTGCCACCAAGCCCCATGACAATCAGCATCTAGCACAAGATGGGCGGTTGAAAAAGAAACATTTTGTGAATTTATGGATTTTAAATCATAGCATGCTGACGTCCCATTATTTCAGTGGAAACTGCATTCAACCCTACATGGTAGTGGTTTTGCAAAACAATGTCAGCAGCACATTAAGTGGCGAACATACTCTGCAAATCAAGTTGGCGTCTACTGGAAGATTGCGAGGTACAATCCTGATCCACTAATGGAACTGATAAAACAGTGCTTCCTTGATTTGGCTTCTTAAGAACTGATAATATCTGCCAGGCTAGATAGAAACAAAGATATCTTAAAGGTGAATAGAAAAGGGTGTATTTACATGCATGCCACAAAATTCTTATGTTATTACATATCTCAAACCTAAACATTCATATTTACATACATACCACTCAAATTTTTAGAATTACATCAACAATACCACCACCACTATCTTTTTAAAAGTTGCATATATTTTTTTTACGACACCAAAGTGTTATAAGAGTAAATATCAAACTTTGGGTGTTAGATATGTAAATACATAAGAATTACATGGTATGTATGTAAACTTCTCAAGAAAAAAGATATAAAAAAAATAAAAATATTAGAATCTGCGTTCTTTGAGCTAACAATCAAACAAAACATAACATTTTGACTTATACGAGCATGTATTAATATAATTCTTTTACTGGCTCATTCAAAAGCGATCAGCCATGTATATCAAAATAAAAACAAACCAAGTATAATACAAGATTGATATAAAAAAGACACTAGGAGTACCATCGCGTAACGTTGCAGTGCTAAAATAGCTAAAGCTATCACCTTCGGATTTGCAATCATTTGTGACTTTCTTTAAATGCTCCTCTACATATGTATATATACAAACAAAGAATCATCAAAATATAAAAGGTGAAAAATGAAGGTGCTTAAAATAGTAGCAAAAAAAATTTAAGAAATTTGTACAGCATGCACGAAGAGAGAGAGAGAGAGAGAGAGAGAGAGAGAGAGAGAGAGAGAGAGAGAGAGAGAGAGAGAAGCAAGGCAAGAAAGAAATAAAAAAATTAAATCAAAGACAATCACAATAAATAATGGCTTACTGCTTGGAGCAGCAGATGCCCTAGCATCTGTGGTTCTCAAACGAGAAGTTTCCTTCTTGGGAACTGCACATAAGTTAAATTAACCCTTTTAAATAAAAATAGCATTTTATTATGACATTCCATTACATAAACAGAATAGATACACTTATTGTTGTAGTCGCACAAAAGTGAAAAGTAAAACTTAGTTAACCCTAAATATCAAATCCCATAAATTCAATTCTATATGAAACGTGATTCTATTCTTCTTCTTCTTCTTCTTATTATTATTATAAAAAAATGTTTACTGCAAAGTTACATGATCAAATATATGTTCGGGCGACAGTCCAAACTTGTCTCCCAAACTCTTGTCAGCGCATTGAGCATGCAAGCACATATGCATGATGAATAGTGCATATTTGTCCAATGAAATGCCTAATAAGGTCCAAAAAGCTATAAAATATGCTTGATTAATTTGGTTAAAAAATCTTTTAAATAAGATTTCAAGGCTGGGAGGAATGGAGGATGCCAAAATTATGGAAGAAGATACTTTATTAGAAATTTTAAGAATAAAGGCAATGACCGGTACTATTGTAACCATACAGGAATAAAACTCATGAACATAAAATGAAAAAATAAGAGAAGGAGAGCAAGCACTACTAAGGAAAATCACATCATTATCACATATTTTGATTTTATTTCATGAAGGTCAACTACAAAAGTGATCTTCCTTACAAAATATTTAATGAAAAATAAAAAAAGCAGCAAAAAGATCTTCAAGCAATTTTTACTGAATCTTGAAATATCACTCGGTTACTAAAAGAATTGAATGAGTATCATAAGAATTGATTTAATGAATATTGAATAAAAGTTAAATTTAAAAGGTACATTAACGTTATTAAAAATATATAGATTTTAGAAAAAAGTCAATGAGTTAACAAAATTTTTCACTTATAATAAAGTTACATCAAAGGTAACCATTCAAGCGTATCTTGTTTTATATTAGTCATAAACATGCTTAAAGCATACCTTCTAAATGGAGTACCTAATGTATACATGAATGCTCCAATAATTCACACACAGCTCCCCTGACAGTTTTATAGTTTGTTCACGGTCAAATTTTAAAAGGTAGATCAAATTTTTAAACATTACCTACAGATTTTACTTCTATTTTTATAATCTGATTCAATATTTCTCATAGGCACAAACATCTGTGGTTAATTACATCTTCCAATAATAAGAGAGGACTTTCAATGGAGGCTAGTCATTAGGGTGTTTATTATTTAGTATATAATAGCACAAATTCACTTTTATATTAAGAAAATTTATCATATTAAGCTTAGTGGGGATGGTGGAGATAAAACAATAAACCCAATTAAGATCATATGGGTCCATCATCTCAGATTACATGAACTCTATTTACCTAGTCAATGAAGGTAGTCGACCCAACCTTACTTAAAATTAATAGATTGCATCGTCAAAAAGAACCATGTAGACCTATGACGGATTTTTTTTCTAAGGGAACAATTTAAAGTCAGCTTAGTTCTTTGGTTTATATCAAGTGCACCATATGATTCACAATTAAAAAGAGTTGAGCTATTAACTGACATCCAATCTCCGATCATTATCACAATATAATAATGCCATTCATGGACAAACAATCCAATCAAAGAATCCTAATTGTAGTCGCTATTTTTATGTTTTGTCATTTAGGGATAAAATTGTCACGACTCGGCCTGGAACTTGGAATTAACAAAAACAGAAATAGAGAGTTGGACGGTAAGAATTAAATTTTCTATATTCATATACTATTTAACAGATGAAAGAGTCACAAATCGAATAAAATTAAAATAGTATATTTTATTTTACCTCATTGTTGGTTGTTCATGTTTTCTACAAATGTTTTTCCTTATTTCACTCATCTTTTAATCAACTAATTAAACTTAAAAAATTATTTTAAAATAAAAATAGCTAAACGAGTCAGTGAATACTCATACTCATAAACCACAACAATATAAGAAAAAATGAAGCAATATGCATGCTAGTTAAACTGTTTAATAAATATTTGATGTTGTTCAAAGAGTTTTACTATATCATTAGCATATCAATATCATTTCATATATATACAACCGCCACAGAAGCACCATCTAAAAATTGTGTCAATTAAGACACATCAATATCAATATTGATTTTCATATACGTGCATAGATACCTTAGTATTCCTCCACTAGTACCATCAAGGGGTATCTCCATAATCAGTCATGCATATACAAGCATTCAACAAAAACATCTCATTCGTGTATTTATTGCATTCATCGCAGCATACCATATAAAACATACACCAAATCCATAAGAGTAAGTAGCTACAACATTCATAATAAAATGATCGATAATATATATATATATATATATATATATATATATATATATTCAATCAAAATAAAGCGAGTGCAGAACTAGGGCACAATCAATAGATTAGAAGTATAAGTACTCACCTCGATTTCGATTAATTTGTTATTAGCATTGACATCGATTCTTCCAAAATCGAAAGCATATAACATGGTTTAAAATTTAATTACTCTATTATTTTAATAAATTATTAGTTTTTTATTATTTAAATGTTAATTTTTCTTTATATAATCACGCTTAATTATTATTATTATTATTATTATTAATTATAATTATTGTTGTTATTATTATTATTATTATTATTATTATTTATGCTTTAACATTATATAAACTTACCTCGATTGATCCCCCGCCTTTTCTTCTTCGAGCACGAGGTTCCTTCCTAAGCTCAGCTCGGTTCAAATGCTTTGGCTTCTCCTCTCGCACAACTTCTCATCATTTTCGACGCTCGGCTAGGGCACAATCTATGTCTAATGCATGCAAGGAAGCTCCTCCTTCCTCTTCGACCCAACTCAGCTCAAAATAGTAGCACGATCCCTTGCTCCAAAGCTCAGCTTCGGCTCTCTCACACGAGCTTTCTTCCTCCCGCTTCCTCTTCCTCTGCACAGTATTGATGCTGCCTCCTCCGCTCGACAGAGACACTGCCTTTGCCCTAACCCTTATGTTCTCCTCCTCTCCTTCGCACGCCGCTCAACTCCCAGGTAAGTCGGTCTATGATTTATATAGGTGAAACCACCTTTTTGACTTTCGACCGCCTTGCTTCCTCCCCCTCTTTCGGCCGCCCAATCATGTACAATGTCTTCTTCGCTTCTTCGTTTCCTCTTCCATCTGTTCATTTCTTCTTCCCCAATTTTTTGTTTGCTCTCCCCTCATGTAACTGAAACGGGACAGTTACAAAAATCTCATGGTCAAAGGACACATACCGCGTCCTTATTGGTGAGAAAACCTTTGAGAGTGATCATAAAAGTATGTTTGATATATATTTCTCAAATGTAAATATAAATAGTTGATATTTTGGTTTTCTTGTGTTGATTGTTCCTAAGGTGTCAATTATAAAATAGCTAACACCTAAATTTTAGATTTATTATTCAAAATGGTACTCTAAGTAACTCTTCAATTTATCAGAGATGATGTTATAGATAGCAATTATAAATGTTTCGAGTAACTTGTACATAATTATAAATGTTTTCATAAACTTTTTTTGGACTTCGTAAACCAAAATTGTAGATATATTCCACATCATCTTAATAATGCACTCAATGAATGATTCTCAATATCTATATTCTTAAAGGTCATTATTTAGGAAATAACATCAATAAGGCTTCTACTTATGATCATAACCTCAAACTTGTCATCAATGAGAAATTTAACAAAACTTGATCTAATAGTCAAAACAAACTCTGATTCTAATTTTTAATCCATATCTCCAATCTTATACACAATTAAGTAACTTTAACTTGATGTTGAAATATCATATGATATAGATATGATTTTATCTTGATTAATTGTTAAATAAATTCTTAAATTTTGCAATGATATTTATGATTACAAAATTTATTTTTATGCATGTTGCCACAGATGAATATAATAAATCTTGTTCTTATAAATCATATTTTATTATAAAACCACTATTGACCTTATTGAATATAGAATGTCAAACACTTGCATATAATATATATAGAATATATATACTTAATTTCAATGAATATGTATCAATATATTCTTTTGTAGATTTAGAAAGTTAGGTCAAAAGATCCATAAGAGTAACAACTATATTGGGAATTATTAGATTGTGTCATGACCCGATTAGAGAGTTGAAATTAACCAAGGTTGAAACAGATGATCGAACAGTGATAATCATGTCTTTTCTATTATTCATTTCCTATCATTAACGGTTTATATAAAATAAAATGAACGGGACTTAAGAAAAACAAATCAAAGTAATACAATTAAATTTTTACCTTAGCTCTGGTTGTTTACATCTTCTATATACAAATTCTTCTTCTATTGTTCATTTTTTAATCAAATGATTAAACATATAATATTAGTTTAAAACAATTGTGAGATAAAAATTCAATAAAGACTTATACTCCTAAACCATAATACAAAACAAAAAGGAAAAGATATGCATGCTAGTCAAAATACTATAAAATCAATATAAAAGCATTGGACAGTTTATTTTTTTCAGATATGATCGTTCACGTTAGTTTATAACATTCAATGTGTTTTAGTAAAGCAATAACATGTCTATATCATTTTATATATATATAATCGTCACAGGAACACAGTCTTAAATTGTACCAATGAAAATACATCAATATCAATACTTTTACATTTACATGCACGGGTACCCTAGCCTAAAGAGGTGGATTTCATAATAGTCAAACATACATATACAATCAGTCTATGAAGTTCGTAACATTCATATATTTTTTCATTCAAATCTACCTTTAAATAATGCATAACATTAATATTTCTAAAATATATATATTTATCACAATGATATGATCAAAATCTAAAAGAACATATAAATCACAGTAAAATACTACAATCAAATTTCAGTAACAATCAATGCATTTGAATTAAAAGAAACAAAAACTACTATAACTTAAAAGTAAGAGTAATAACATTGATTTCACAAAAATTAAATTATATTAACTCATTATGGTAAAAAATAT